CTGCTGACACAGACCCCAGGGAGGGTGGCCCTGGAAACATGTCTGCTTTATTTAAAAAATCAAGTAGTGGATAAAATGTGCTTTGTTTTAGTTTAAATGGCAAGATTGTCTCCTATTGAATTTTGTTTATCATCTAAAAAAAAAAATCTTCTTTTGAACACCAACCCTATCCAGATCCTACCTATCCATATCCTATCTCATTTCTCTGCACTCAGCCTCCTCTTCTGACTCCCTGGAATGAACTGTGTTGGGATTCCTTTGAGGTCGTTCTTAGGGTTCCTTCCCTTTACTCTATACACAGAGCTCTAGATCTCTCCTTTGACGATGGCATCCATTTCTATGGCTTTAATTTCACTTCTGTGCAGACTCCTAACTTTATACCTTTTAGATCAGACCTTTTTGCAGAGCTCCAGGTTCATAATTCCAACCGCCTGTCTGTTTAACACCTCCACTTAGACATGCATGCATCTCAAACTTAGCAAGCCCCAAACAGAAGTCCTGATTCTCAGCAATCTACCATAACCCCCTTCCCTAAGAAAATGCCATCAACCAAACAAATAAAGCCTTGATCCTCTTCCAAGCTTCTTTATCTCAGCGAATACCCTATCCCATATACTCAGCTGCCTGAGCCATGCTTGACTATACCTCTCCCTTACGCCACCAGATCCAAACCTCAGCAGATACGGCAGACTGTACCTGCAAACTATATCTCAAATCCACAGACTTCTCTCCTCTACCACCACCCTAGTGCAGACCCTCACCTGCTCCTTGTACTTTTACAACCATGTCCTGCCTTCCCTCCTCATGCTCTTCTCCATCAATCATTCTCTACAAGGAGACAAAGCAATCTTCTAAAAATGATCATGCCATTCCCTTGCTTAAAATCCTTTAAAGTTAGATTTTCTTTCGCCCTACAGAGAAAATCTGAACTCCTTACCTAAATCTAGACCAGTGCTATCCAATAAAAACACAACGTGAGCCACATGGGTAATTTTAAATTTTCTGGTAGTCAATTTAAAAAATAGGTGAAGTTAATTTTAATCTTTTATTTAACTATTTCAAAAACATTATCATTTCAACATGGTTACGTAAAAATTATTACTGAAATACATTCTCTTTTTATATTAAATCTTCAAATTCCCATGCCAGAGAGGCCTTCTCTCCACCAGTCTAAGTAACTTGGGGTCCTCTGATGTTGTATCTTCCTTGTTCCTCCTCATTTTGTAGTTATGCACTTAATGATGCATTTGCCTGAATGGCCCCTAAACTGAGAACTCCCTAAGGACAGGGGCTACATCTATTTTGTGCTTCACTAGGTATCTGGCACCTAGCACAATGCCTGGCATAAAACAAGCTAATAAATATGCATGGAAGAATAAACAGCAAAGACACTGATATTAAGTACAAGAACAATCAGGCAAGGGCTGGGGGCCCCATTCACTGAAGACAGGCTCTGTTTTGTGTATTGTATCAGTACAATGGTATGCTGATATTTTAGAGCACTGCGTGGTTGTTATACCTATAAACTGAGTGTTGGCCAAGACTCATTGCTGTAGGGCAGGCTCAGATAGAGGGATTCCAGCCAGACTCCATCAACATGTGAGAAACTTTCTCCCACACATGCTGCTGTCATTGAACGTGATCTCAGGTTACACCAAAGGCTTAGGCACCTCCCAGCTCTAGCCTTCCAGGAGGAAGGAAGGAAGGAAGGAAACCAATCAGTCTGAGCGTCCTCCATGCCAGGAGCTGTGTTAGGCACCCTCACATGAGATTGTATCTGATCCTTAGAGTCACCCTTTGAGGACATGGAGACTCAGAAAGATAAAATAATTTATCCAAGGTCACAAAGCTACCATGTCAGGCTGCTGGAATCAGAGTCAAGGTCACTAGTGGCTTTCTTTGATAGCCATGGCTACATCGATGTCCCGGAAAAGGCCTCAGTGGCTTTGAGCCAGGCGTCCCAGCAGAGCTGAGCAGGAGAAGAAACTGCTGGTGACCAGGTGGGAGCTAGAAGCAGGCATGGGACCTGCTCAAGCAGACTCCCAGTACGGTGTACCAGGCTCAAGTGTGAAAGTCAGAGCTCTGACGTTCTGTGGAGCCTTCATATTTAGTGAGCAGTAAACCTACACAGCACTCCTCGGACGGGTTATTTACACTCCCATTTTATGGTTTAGAACCTGCTATAGAGTTCACACATCTAATAAGTGGCAAAAACAAGGATCTGAACTGAAACCTCTGGATTATCTGTCCTGTGTTTTTTCTTCTCTTCACAAAAGGAGTTATTTTATATTTAGCGATTATATTCACAGGAAAACTGGAACTACAGACAGATCACACTGCATAAAAGCTGGGGCAACTAAGGAAGGTTTCTCAGACCTCTCTAACTCATAAATAACAGCACAATCCTTCAAGCAAGGCCCTATATGCTTGTCTTTGGGGCCTCTAAGAAGAGAGCTTGAAATTCTACATCCAATCCCACGGCTAGCCTCTTGGGGACAGACTGGATAGTGACACCATTCCGAAGCATGACTTGAGGTCGTATCAGCCATGTGGCTCAGGCAGGTCTGGCCACCTAGTCCAGTCCCCCTGAGGACAGTCTCCTTCCAATCAACCACAGCAACTACTCCTTTAGCTTACAACTAAGACTTCTCCAGCTTGTGTATTCTAGCCAGGCTAGGCTGGCTCGCAAATCCACATGTGATAAGAATATGAGTAATAATTTGTAACTGCATAGCACTTTCTGTTTACAAGGTGTTTTAACATATATTGAGGGACGTGAAAAACCCAGAAGACTAAAATACCTGACCTTTCCCAAATAGCATGCTGGTGACCTGAAAAAAACATGATTTAAAACAGGTCTGTCCTGGGGTGGGAGTGAGGAAGGGGCAGTCCAGAGGAGATGTTACGCAGCTCCACTCAACAAGGACTGCATTGTGTAATTCTCTGATCATTTTCTTGGTTGTGGTTTGCAATCTGTTAAAAAAAATTTTTTCCCCCAGAACAGCTGAGAATGCGTAGATCCTGGCATTTAGATTCAAATCATCCTTGTCAGTAGAGGATTTAGGACAACCACCAGACAGCTGGTAGATCTGCAGGCACTTTCCACACTCTGGACTTCTTCAACCCAGGAGCAGCGCAAGATGCAGGGGCTGAGCTCACCTCTGACCCAGCTGCTCCTGACCTCAGCACACCAGGGGCCACCAGGGGCCAGGACATTCACCATTCCTTGGAATTCACTAAACTATTCACAACAGCTGCATTCAAACACCAAGGGGTATTTCAAAATGTTAGTAAAACCCAACTTTAAACTTATAAAAACATCAATTCAACCCATGGACTCTTATTTTCCAGAAACATTCTTGAACTTGGGCTGTTAAAAAGCCATTGTCACTATGCTCACTCAGTAAGTATACCGTCTACTAAATAGAATCTATTAATCTAGTAAAAGTTTTTTTTTTTTTTTTAGACGGAGTTCCACTCTCGTCATCCAGGTTGGAGAGCAGTGATGTGATCTCGACTCACTGCAATCTCCGCCTCCCGAGTTCAAGTGATTCTCCTGCCTCAGCCTCCCCAGTAGCTGGGATTACAGGCATGTGCCATTATGGCCAACTAATTTTTGTATTGTTAGTAGAGACAGGGTTTCACCATGTTGGCCAGGCTGGTCTCAAACTCCTGACCTCAGGTGATTCATCTGCCTCGGCCTCCCAAAGTGCTGGGAATACAGGCAGGAGCCATCATGCCTGGCCCAGTATTTTTTTTAAACTCCAAAACCAATTTTTTTCTCCAAAAAGTACACAATAAAGCTTCCAATTTGCAGACAGCAGACATGCTGGGTATAAATAAATTGCAGATGTTTGCATGTGGACCTTCACATCATACATCCTTCTGATTAACCCTGAGCTAAAGGCTGGTGTATTTGAGTGTCTGAGGGAACATCTTGCTTTGTTAAGGAGAAGGCAGTAGTTACAGAAATCAGTGGTACTGAAGAAGAATAACTAAAACCATTTTTCAGATGAGGGCATTGACAGTCCAGAGTTAGGGCTTTAAATCAGTGTTTTAGATGAAAAAGCTGCATAGATCCTGTACCTTACATCTTTGTTTCAACATTGAAGATCTGACACTGTGACAGGGTAGGTTAGTTACTGCCTGGGAAAATGTACCGCTCATTTTAACTAGGGATAATTCTGCAGACTTTCTGGCCACTGTCAGTTAAAACACTTGTGACGAGTCAGTCAGTTCCACTCATGCAAACTAATGAAACACCACATTGTCCCACCACATGCTCCCACAGCACAAGAGGCAGAAGGAATTAGGCACTCACAGCTGTTCCGAGGAATGTGTGCCTCCACGTACCCACAAGCAAGAAAAAGACCTGAATGGTCTCCAAGCACTGATCCCTCAGCTATCCTAGCAACACAGACATCCCGACAACAGGAACCAGTCTCCTCTCAGTCCAAGGAAGGTTCCAGATTTGAATACAAATTCATCCTTGAGAATGAATTGACAGCATTTACAGTGACCTGAATGAGATTGGAGACTATTATTCTAAGTGAAGTGACTCAGGAATGGAAAACCAAACATTGTATGTTCTCACAGATATGTGGGAGCTAAGCTATGAGATGCAAAGGCATAAGAATGATACAATAGACTTTGGGGACTTGGGGGGAAGAGTGGGAGGCAGCGAGGGATAAAAGACTACAAATAGGGTGCAGTGTATACTGCTTGGATGATGGATGAACCAAAATCTCACAAATCACCACTGAAGAACTTACTCATGTAACCAAATACCACCTGTATCCCAATAACTTATGGAAAAATATAAAAATAAATAATAATACTAATTCATCCTTGAAGATAAATGAATCAAGGGGATATCAGCTGAACGATGTGAATGTCAAGAGGAAATCCTATCTGCAGACCTCTCAGAGAAACCTGGGTCTGCTTGCAGAACAAAGGCTCCTTCTGTGACATCAAGCAGCAGGTTTAAGAGCTCCCTGGCTTCTGGCTTTGGCCACCTTTCAAAACCACAAGTACATCCAAGGGCAGCCAAGACAACAACAAAGCCAAGAGATAACAGTCACCAAAAGAGAAGACCAACTCCCCCTTCCAGGCCTGCCTTCTGCCTGGCTCTCGGCAGGCAAGGCTCCATTCTCCCCAAAGTAGGTGTCCAAGGCGCTGAATACAAGCAGGGTACTGATCCCTGTGCAAGAAGATAGCTCAGAGGATGCCCACAGCTGGTGCCAACATTCTTGGGAGGCTATGGAACACACTGTCTGGGGAAGGCCCTATAATACTTTCTGGGTTCTAATCCTAGCTCAGTGATCCATTAAGGTATGATCTTAGGTGCCTCAACATCCCTGGACCCATTTCCTCAACTCTAAATGATGATACTGATGATGGTGATAACAATATTCATAATGAAATCTGCTATGTCTCTCACACAGGGTTACAATGTTCAAACAAGGTAGTTTATGAACATATCCCTTAAGCTATCTGAAAACTATAAAATGTAGGCGATAACAATTGATAATATTAGGATAATTATGTTTATTAATAATTATTAGGATAATTAATAATGGAAGAATAATGGAGGAAATGACACATGTAGACATGACAGCTTAATCACGCAAGTTTTAAGGTCAAAGAAGGGACTTCCTCTGCTTTGTCTTGGGCCTCCGATAGGATGTATGTTCAATGAATATTCAATTATAATAAAGGTGACTTTTTTTTTTTTGAAACAGAGTCTCGCTCTGTTACCCAAGGCAGAGTGCAGAGGCATGATCTCGGCTCACTGCAACCTCCACCTCCCGGGTTCAAGCGATTCTCTTGCCTCAGCCTCCTAAGTAGCTGGGATTACAGGCGCACGCCAACATGCCTGGCTAATTTTTTTGTATTTTTAGTAGAGAGGGGGTTTCATCATGTTGGCCAGGCTGGTCTCGAACTCCTGACCTCATGATCTGCCCACCTCAGCTGCCCAAAGTGCTGGGATTACAGGCGTGAGCCACCACGCTCGGCCTATAAAGCTGACTTTTAAATGATTAACAAGCTAAACATAATTTTTTGGAAAAGAGCAAACTTGCAACAGAGTACTTCACAAGACAAAGAGGTGCTTATCTGGAGGGCCTCCCTCTGAGTGAGATAGGGGAGGCAGGAGACATCCAAGGTGGCCCACTATCTTCATGCCAATACACATCAGGCCAATACCCAACATGATGAGATGCAATGTTTTCAGAGCTGACATCTGGGCAAGTCACTGTCAACTCAAATTAACCCCTGAATTCACTACGAAAAGAGAGAAAGAGGTGACTGAGCTGGAGTGAATGGTTGGTGTTTTGCAGCTCCTTTCAACTGGAAGAGCTGAATGAGAAGTTCGGTTTCTCTCACTGTATTTCTGCTGTGGCACCTTTGGCAAAACCTCCCTCTCTAGAGCCTTGGATTTTCATTCAGGCTGCTTGGTCCTAGCTTTTCATACGCAAAAACTTTGTTTATATCATGGCTGGTTTCAAAAAGGAATTGAGGCAGCTTATAATCTCATTAAGAATACTTCACAAAAAAAAGAATATAAGGTATTTTGAACTTCTCAAAATTAAGAACACCTCAGGAGATTTTTCTTTAATGTGTTAGAAAAACAAATACATTAATAGTCGTACAGAGCGGGGTAGGACTTTATGACCCTTTGACAGAGAACCATGCATCTTCTCAGCACAATTTTTGAGGGATATGCATTTGTTACTTCCTGTATTCATCTTTAACAATAAGATATTTTCAGCTAAGAAAAAAAGATGTGAATTTGGATTAATATAGCTCTCAATCATAAACAAACCCTAAACCAGGAGTGCTTGTTAAGTCTTCCACAGCCTGGACTACAAACTCAGGACCTGCGCCCATCCTCCGATAAGATCTTTTACAGAAATACGACCTCAGTCCAAGTCAGTTTTCAAATCAAAAAGCTTTACGCTCTTGGCAGCTTGACAGCTTGGACCTTGGGTGTTTACCAAGAACTTCCCCAAGATAGGAAGGGTGACTCCATTACTACCGCCTCCCCACCCCCCCCCCTAGTGTGGAGTTTCCCTTTGTAAGAGCTGGCACCTAGCCAGGGCCTCAGAACTTCAAGGAGTAAGTCTATAAACTGTCTGTGTCTAGTACACGGTAGACACCTAGCTCAGGGCAGTTTAAGTTAATAAATGAAAAGCGGTCCACCGTAAGCCAGCTAACAGTTGGTTCTGACTCCACATCATGCAGCCTGGCATCTGTGCTCATCTTTAACAGGCCAAGTTACCTGTCTTTGCTGCTCACCTCCTGCATTCTTGCCCCTTACGTGCCTTACATGCCAATGAGGCGATATTAACAATCCTGTGCACAGGTATGCACCTCCATGTTCACCCATTCCAGCAGTGGCTGCCTGCCAGCTCTCTGAGCTGGGAGGTCACCCACCTAGATTTTGTGGAGCGGGGTCCAGGACCTTCTAACCCCCAGGACACCCCAAGGAATGTCCCAATCTGGTGTCAGAAGCAGTTCAGGGCTCTCTAGTGGTTTCTATGGAGATTATCTGGGCCTCCACTTATTTTCTTCTTGTACTACCGTAATTATGGAACTGAGAATAATTCTGAACTCTTGTTCACCTAGCTTTGTACCAACACCTACACTGTTCTCCTCTCAAGGTGCTGCAGTCCAGCCACAGGCCATTCCGGTTCCTTCTGGGGTTTTGAAACATGCCAAACGTGCTCTCACCTCCAGTTCTCTGCATTTGACTTCCCTATGCCTGCAACAGCCTGGAAGGCCCATGGTTGCTTTCCCTCATTATGCAAATCTGAGCTTAAATATCATCTCAGAAACCTGTTTATCCTACCAAAAACGTACCACCTCCAATAAATCTCCAGCGTATCACTCCATTTCCTCTACAGCATTTGGGATAATCTGCAATTGTCTTATTTATTTGCACATACTACCTAATTCGCTCACTAGAATGTAAACTCTGGGAAGACACTGCTTCAGATGCTCCACTGCTACCCTGTTAGTTCACATATTTCCACCACCCTATAAAAGGGCAAGAACCGATTGTGCAATAATTTCGCTGCTAGAATGTCTTCAATGCTGGACCAGCCCTTCATTTAAGATAATCAGAAGGACTAAGAAGAATTTTCCTGGTAAGCCCTGGGGCTTATAAAATCAACACACTCTAATATAGGTGCTCCATATACAGATACTGAACAAATGAATGAGCTAGGATCCAAGCGGCTTTGCGACAAGCTTGGACAGAAAGAGATATAACAAAAGAAATCGTCCCATTCTTTACCAGATAGCATCACAGGCTGCTGATCTTCCCCAACACGAAAAGGAGTGCAGTTTCCAAACTAGCTCTAACAGGCAGAAACCAGTCACAGCCAGGCCCATTACAAATCCAGAGAAAAAGCATTTACAACTGTAAGACTCATTTACCCAGATCTCTGTCACAGAGAGGGAAAAATCAATTCTTGTCCTAAAGTATTCTGAAGCTGACCTGATGGTGCATCCATATAAAATTTTATTTCAGCTTGCTGACAACTAAATATAAGGAGATATGGGGCCTAATTTATAGACATCCTGGCATCTCTACAGAAGTGGATGCACATGGTTCAGAATCTGATGCTATGATAAAAAGAAAGTACTTGGGCTTTCTTTTAAGGGACTTAATAGAGGAAGTTGGATTTTTAAATACCCTCAAATATTACATAATGTTAAGAAGTGGCTAATTTTTATTTAGGTGTTATAGTTTTTTACATTGTGGTTATATAGTTTTTAACATAAGAGTCCTTATCTTTGAAAGGAACATACCAAAATATTTACAGATAAAATAATATTAAATCTGAGATTTGCTTCAAAATAATACCAGATGAGGGAAGTAGGTGAGAGTACAGACAAAACAGGACTGGCCCTGAGCTGGTAACTGTTGGAGCCGGGTGACAGGTTCATGGGAGTTAATTAAATTATTCGCTCAACTTTGTGTATGTTTGACATTTTTCCTAATAAAAACTTCGGAGTCTCGCTCCGTTGCCCAGGCTGGAGTGCAGTGGAGTGATCTCGGCTCACTGCAACCTCTGCCTCCTGGGTTCAAGTGATTCTTCTGCCTCAGCCTCCTGAGTAGCTGGGATTACAGGCACACGCCACCACGCCTGGCTACTTTTTAAATTTTTAGTAGAGACAGAGTTTTACCATGTTGCTCTGGTCTTGAACTCCTAACCTTGTGATCCACCCATCTAAACCTCCCAAAGTGCTGGGATTATAGGTGTGAGCCACCACACCCAGCCATAAAAACCTTTTAAAAAGCACTTTAAGACAAATCATCTTCACTAGTGAAATCACAGAAGTTACCTGAAGGTGAAGGTTTCGCAGTGCCGGTCCTGCCATGGGCTCTCCTGGATGCTGTCCTGGGTCACAGGTGAGTTCTGCCGTGGGGATTTGGAGTGGGGGAGGGTGCCCATGTGACTGAAGTCATCACAGGACCTTATGGGAGGAGGACCTTTTTTCTTCCGTGGAAGGGTGCCGTGTATAGACACATCTTGATAGGCATCTGGGCGATGCTCAGTGAGAGGGGACTTGCTGCTCAGAAGGTCCATGGACGAGGCCAGGGGGAACTGGTGATTCACCGGCATGTTCCTGGGAAGGCTTGCAAATTTTCCTGCAGCCATAATTCTCAACTCTAAGGGGGAAAGAAAAGAGTGAAGATATAAATCTTCGAGAGTCACAAGAACTGACTTCCTACTTACAAAAGGAAATGGAAATATGCCACATAAAATGAAATATTCACAGACCATTAACAGATCAACATTTAATGCATCACTAGTGGAGTCTAATAAGAATGGGAAGTTTACTTATCTTCCTCATGAAATGTTCCTGGGTTGGCAGCAAAACCAAGAGGGCAAACACTTTCAGAGTTGTTAGTGGCATATAAGCCATTTTATTATTTCAGGTGACTGATGGAAAAGCACAACTAGCAAAACAAAGGTGATTAAGGGAGGACTCACAGTTGCAGTAATAAATGTATGAAAGAAAATATTATAAACTGTTAATTAGCTCACATATTTTCACAGCAGTGTAAATGATAAGAACAAGCAGGGATTACTGAAATTCTTTAGCCGCTAGAATTGTCTTCAGTGCCGAACCAGTCCTCAGTTGTGCTACCCAGGATGACGGGACCGAATTTTTCTGGCAAAGACCCAGTGTTTATAAATCAATCAATGCACTCTACTTAGTGAACACGGGCTAGGGTCAGGGGTCAGGAGGTGGGCAATTCTGCCATACACCAGCAGGCTTAGCTGCAAAGGAAAGCCACTGAGGTGGGCGCTGCATGTACATGGCCCCCCAGAGGGGTCAGGATCTGCTTGCCCCCAGCAGGGTTAGGTAATGCCCATGGGTGCCTGTACAGTCAGGAAAGAATAGACAGGAAAAGGGAAGAAGAAAAGAAAAAAAATGGTGGGGGTGGGGGGCAAAGGAGACATGGAAAGAGAAAGGAGAATGGCACATGAGGCTGTCTGCAGCAAGTAGCCCCGACACTCGCTCCTAGCTAGGACCATGAATAGAAGCATTTACCTTAAGCAGAGTCAGTGCCTCCAGCTCCAAAGCAAACTACGGTTTTGGCCTAAGACAAATTATATAACACATTTTTAAGGCCAATATACAGAGGAAAAGAAATAGGAGGCGAAAGAAAGAAAAATGAGGGCTGGCTCCTGGAGACAGAGGCTCCAGGATCTGTCTTACAATAGTCATGATATCAGACTCTGGTCTGGACAGCACTGCAGGGTGGCCAAGCCCAACACACAGCCCTTCCCCTGGGCTGGTGAGGAGAGCTGCCCCTTAGTCTGTTCTCCAGTCCTGCAGCCCTCTTTCCTTGCAGACCACCCTTTCCACTGCATTATTCATGCAAGAGCTTCGAGTGAAAATTCTCACTTAATAGCACTACTGCACAGTCAGTTCTACAAAGGAACTGTGGACTTGGGACGTGGCTTGAAGACAACCAAGAAGAACGCAACCCTCCACAAGCTGACAGAAGTGGAGCAGCGACAATGACATTAGAGTGTGTAAAGAAAACACACGTGTTTGTATGTGTGTATACAACAAAACACACGTCCCACTGCTTCCACATAAGATAGGCAGAAGCACAGAAGTGCTGGGAGTGAGATGGAAGGAGCATCTTTATTAAAGGTCTACAATCCTAACCCTGTCCTCGGTTCATTGTCAAATCCAATAATTCTGGGGCTTGCCTGCTCCGCGTCTAACTAGTACCACACAGAAGGCCTGCTCACAGTAGGTGCAGAACAATAGGACAGAGTCCTGTGCAGCCCCTCCCAGCTCTGGCCAGTACCTGGCACACTGTCAGCACTTGCTCAATGCTAACCGTCCATATTAGAAAGGAAACCAAACTCCCTAGCCACCCTGCCTGAACACAAGTGACGTAAACCGACTAGGATTCTTCCACCCTACACACACACACCCCACCGTTGTGAATTCTCGCCTGTTCAAGCTATCAGCACCTTCCTTCTTCACAGACAGGACTGGGTCATTTCCAAGAACCTCGTGGGGAGGCCTGCAGCACTCTACAGAACTTCTTCATGTGCATAGGGCCATGCTGCTGATCAAATCTATTTCCGAGATAGCATGATGGGCAAAAGTCGCCCTAGCACCAGTGCCTTTGGCAGCCTGTTCCTCTCTGCTTCTCCAACATCTATTTAGACTTCCAGATTGCCCTAAAGTGTTCTAAAATGTCCTTCAAGTTACCAACACCTCAATTTATTCTCCAATAACAGAGGATGTTAATACTTCCCCTTCTTACCTTCAATTCAACCAACATTTAAGTGCCTATTTCATACAAGACACCTGGAGAAACAAAGATACCTAAGACCCAATACCTGACTATGAACTCTAAGAGAGAATAATTCGTAGAGACCCTTATGCTGAAAGGAACAATTAATTTTGACAAAAGGACTTGAGAAGGCTCAGAGAGGGCAACAATAGAGACAAAGCATTTTGAAAAGTTAACGTGTAGGGAAAAGCCTCCCCGGGGGATGCTATAATGGCAGATGCATAAAGGCATGGAAGTGTCCCCACAGGCTCAGGACACTCCAAGTTGTGTGCTGTGGCTCGAGTGAAGCTGAGAAGCATTTCCAAGAAACGACTTAGGTTAGGACCAGACCATGGAGTCTTGAAGGCCTTGCCAAGGTGTCTGGACTTGACTGTAAGTGCTAGGGAAGATCTGGCAGGGAAGGACAGAACCCAGTCAGTACCCAAGTTGGTGACTCTGGTTGTTCTGGAGGGGAGAGAAAAAGGAGGCAGAGAGGTTACTGAGGCTGATGGTGAAACCCATGGAGGAACAATGAAGAAGTCTGACCTGGGACAGCATTTGGGTAAAGGGAGAGGAAGGAGAGAGTGATGAGACATCAGAGCTTGAGGCATCTGGCTGGAAGGAAGAAGCCTACAGCCACAGGAGGTGGTGCGATGCTGTAACATGCCGAGTAGTTTCAGAAGGGGACCCCTGCAGGAACCAAGCGCAGCACTGGAGCTGCTGCATGTGAGGTATAAGCAATTTAGTCTAAAAGGAGGTTAGATACTGGTATGCACAATTAGAAGTGGGGGCAGATGGAGATTTTTAGGAATCATCAACATAAAGGGAATATTTAAACCAGAGAGTAGATCCCTTAACTTGTTATTATCAGATGTGATAACAGCTGTGAAAGTACCTCTTAAACTGTCAGGAATCATACAATACCCATGAATTATATCCCTGCTCTCTCTCACCCTGGCTTTTTCAAGCCTATAAGGACCAAAGCAAGGAATGAGTTCTATTATAAAAACATAAACCATTGGTTCTCAACCTGGCTGCACATAAGAATCCTCTGGGAAGCTTTTAAAATCCTGATGCCCAAGTCTCAGCCCAG